TACAGGTTGAAGTAATTGAAATACACAGTTTGGGACCACATTCTTCAATTGATGTTGTACCATTAGGATTAATGCTCCAGCTCGTGCTCGACCTTGCACACAGCTCTTCTGCCTTCTTTCACCTCTCCGTGTCAGCTCTGCCACCCTGTCCCCAGCCCAGCAGTCTCCGTGGGCTCATCTTCCCTCTCTGCAAGGTGAAACGTCTACTTTTGAATCCATTCCACTTCAGAACCTTTTAGATTGTGTCTCTGTTCTTGTGCATTTCTACCCATCCCAGAAACAGCATCTTGGATGGATGGACTCCTTTCAACTCGAATCGAATTGAATAGTGATTGGTAAAAGTTTTTATGGATTAGATTCATAGTTATTTTACTTAAGGGTAGCTAATTCGTGTATTTTTGTGAATTATATTTCAAATTTCAGGTCACATAAACAACTGAAGGTTGTCTGTGAATTTACCACCCACAGGGGAATATTTAATAAGAATGTTTTGTTATTTTGAACTATAAGACAAATTTTCCATTAGCACTAGGTTTCTAAAACTTAAAAAGAAAGGTTTTTTTGCTGACAGCATTGCTTTAATTAATAAGCTGCAGGACAGGGTAGAAGCTGCTGTAGATTGCTTTCAGTGATTATGATCACTGCCTGAATTGGCAGAGGAAGAAGTGTTATGATGATGAGAACTTGTCTTATTGTTGCCATTAGCTGTTACCGAAGTCTAATTACTGTGCGCAATGCTAAAATGTGTAAGCTGCCAACACTTAGAGATAAGGAGATGAAAAGAAATCAACTCATTCCAAATAGCTATTCTGTTTTTTTTTCATTATTATTGTTATTTTTGCGCACTCTCCTGAGTGGTGCTTTACAGTGCATGGATTAAGTCATGGCTTTGGCTGCAAAAGCTGCCATCAAAATTCGGTTGTGGTTAAATAAGTTGTAAGCACCAAGGGACTGAATAAAATAAGGGTTAGTGAAAGGTGATGACAAGGAATTCAGTTAATGGTATGTGCATCTGCTGAGTGAATGCATTATTAGCTATTAATTCAGTTGCTGTAGGCAGGATCCAAATGTGATTGCGAAGAGGGTAAAGCTTAGAAGCCTGGTTCCCGTAGGAATCAGTCATGGGAAAGTGCCGTTTCTGCCATGCTGGCTGCTTCAGAACTGGCATTTCCACAGAAAAGTAGAGGTTTTCCTGCTGTCTTGATCAAGAAATCTCCTTCGTCTGGGAGACAGGCTGCTCTTTGCCAGCTTTGAGACATCACGTTAGGGGCACAGTCCTCAGAAGTTTTGCAGAGCTTCACCTGAGCTCGGCACCCCGGGGACTCCTGCCATAACTACTGTGCTGACTTCAGAAAATGTTTTGGGATCCTCTGGGATGACAGATGCTTGTGTATGCACATGTAACATGCTGTTAATAATTAGAGCTGATTGGATATTCAGTACAAATTACACTGGCTATGAAGTTAGCCCCTTCTTTAGACTTACAAGTGGCTCACAAAACACTGTTAAAGCATATTTTTAAATGTATGTTTTTTCATAAACATTGACAGATTTAATTTGAACAAATGATATCGAGTCTGAGTGTTTTAAAACTCTTGCTGGGCTGTTCACTGTCAGTTGTTAATGGTGCACGTTTGGATTTCTGAGTCACAGGGTAAATATTTTCTCTTTCTAATTTCTAGGATTAAACATGAGTTTTGATGATAATTTTAAGTGCCAGCCCCTCCTAATGGTGTGTCTGCCCCCACGCCTGGGCCCACGTGGAGCTTTCTTTTGCAGTTTTTCATCATGAGCTGGGTTGTTTCCCAAACCTGTATGTTCTTGTGTGAATCTGAAGGAAGAGCTGTGATTTTTTTGGAACATTGACTCAGACTGAATCTGCCTCCTGTGGAGGAAAAAGAAAAGTTCAGCCCCAGTGGCTGCATTTCCCATATTCTGCAAAACAAAATCCACACAAGCAGAGCCATGCTCAGTTTCAAATTCATATTCATTCTTTGTATGTGTTCATATATACTTGTAGGATGCTCTAAGGCAGCACACTGTGTTGGTAGAAAATAATTATTCACTAATAGTAGTACCAACAACCATGGCTGGTTTGAAAAGTGACTAATGATTTCGGTGTAAGCAAATCTGAAATACTTTAGAGAAGCCTGTTTTTCTGCTGAGGAACAGCTCTCCATGGACTGCTAGGAACTCCAGCCTTGCTTGTTGCTAGAGGAACTGAAAAGGAGCAAACCTCAAAGATATGATCATGTATTTCTCTGTAATTGGAGGAGGGATGGTAACATCTGTGCTATGTTCTTGTCCAGGAGAAATAAAAATCCACACTAGCAACATCTATATATCCCCTTCATTCACTTTGTTGCATCCATTGCAGAAAGATTTAACCATTTACAACAGACCTGAATGAAATTTTGCACAAAAGAGTGATGTGCAGTGCCATAAATAAAAGCTGTTCTCATGTATATGGCACACTTGTGGTTCTCGCTGCTTAGCAGTTAACATCCTTAGAAAACATATGTTTTGTCTGGAAAAACAAACAAACCCCCAAACCCTAAAGTAGCAGCATTCTTCGGGAGAAATGCCAAAGAGGATAGGATGGCAGCAGTGTAGATTATCCTTTTTCTGCCCACCTACCTTTGTATTTTTCCCTTTGCACTCTCTCTCCCCCGTTCCTCCTCTTTTTATATAGAATAGTCCTGCAGTATATAGAGCATAAGAATCATTTCTCTAGCAGAGACTGCAACCTGCTTAGGAGCCTCCATCCCCATTAGAGACTCTTTCCAGAAGAAGTAATTTCCTTCTCCCTATAAATTATGCATCAATGTACATTTAAGATTCTGAAATGATGAACAGAAGATGAAAGCATTTCGGAGTGTTGCTGCTCCTATGGAGCTGAATCCACGATGTTGTACACAGGCTCAAACACACCTTGTTAAGACAAACCTGCACGTGTTGCTGTCCTAGTACTCCGGCTGTAAGTGCATGGAGATAGGAGCTTATCCGACTTCAGCCTCAGCTCTGTAAGAAGGACTTTTTCTCCTCTTGGGAGGCAGTGAGGGCGAAAGATAGCAACGTGTGTCCAAAGTGGTCTTCTCAAATGGACTCTGCCAGCCTGAGCCAGGGTGATTCCTGGTCTCCCTTGCTCCTGATGTGTCCAGAGACCTTCCAAACTCACAGGTTGAGATCTGCCAGTGTTAGGACATGCACTGATCCTTGTGACCTTACCCTAAATCTGAAAACACGCGCAGCTTCAGGGTTGTAAGGGACTTAGATGATCTAATGGGAAAGGCAATTCAGTCAGCTAAACAGGAGTTGAGACAAACAACTAGTACTTCCAAACTGAAATAAGGATATGCCATTTTGAACCTCAAGTGTGTGATGGCTGAGCAGTATGAAATGCACTGGGTGAGCTGGAACTCCTGAGCACAGCAGTGGGGCAGGTGAGCTTGGCAGAGCTGCTTGGCTAACTTTAAACTCAGTGTCGTATCTCGGTGTGTGAATGGTGTTGAGTTCTGCAACAAAAATACGCATGCATATGTATAAAAATAAATGAAAAAAATTTTTTAGCACAGATGAGGTTCCAAAGTGCCTTTGCACAATCTGCCATTGGCATGTGGTTTCCATCTAGTGTAACAGGGATAATACAGAGGCATGTACACTTTCTGGGGAATGGATATTAAATACATAATGTAATTATGTACTGAAAAACTGAAAAAAAAAAAGCTTTCAGATTATACATAGCCTATGGATATAGGTGAAGAATGTAATCAAATGTACATGTGTATTTTAGAGAAGAATTTTGTGCTGCTGCCACAGCTGCAGCTATATGCATGCACCCCCATGTGGGTTTATACAAAGCTATATGGGAGAGCATCCTTTATATTTTGTCATGTCAGAGAGTATAGGGAGAATTTTTAAGTTCATCCTTGGAATTTGTAGGTGGTGAATGAAAATTAACAATTCTTGAAAGGGAAAATTTGGAGAGTTTTATGTAAAACTGTTGTATATCACAGATCGTTGTATAAAAAGTAAAAGATGCCCCTTGCAATAGGCCTGAATTCCTATAATGCCCAGTGCTGCGGGAACTGATTCGAGACCTGAGGTTCCTGTGGAGCTGTTTCAGGGCAAGTCTAGCTCTGCTGTGGTGTTTGAGGTGAAGTGAGACAGGAACAGTGAAATACCTCCAAGGTTCTGGCATCAGTGAACCTGCACTTATTCTGTATTTCTTTCATGGTCACTTAAAATGACAATGAAGCATCCCAAGCCCTTTGCACTGTTTGCATCACATCTGGTGATGGCTGCCAAGAGCTGTGCGTTTGTATAACTATGGGTGCGTCTTTGTCCCTTCAAGTTTTGCTTTAAGGTCTGGTTGTTCACTTCTACCCAAGTTGACCCAACTGCTGAGTTTCCTCTTTGAAGAAAGCAGTGCCACGTGGTACCTTTCCTTTTCTCTCCTTTGACAAAGTTTTCTTTTAGAGAGAGAATACTTTTTGCTTTTTAAATGCAACATCCACCCTAAAAGAACCTGTATATTAAAGCAGGCCATCGAGCCTTTCATCACTTCTCTGGGTGATAGCAGTCATGAATTTTTTATTTTCTGCAGGGCTCACTCCAGATCTGCCACAGCATTGTGTGGGTGCACACATGTAAAAAGGCTACTAATTGAAATTCAGATGTAACTAGATGAAGTTTTGCTATTCACCATGACTGCTTTTTGTTTTAGCCCTTGTACGCTCAGTGCACCTAAACAATGCAACCATTGCTTCTCCTTTTAGATTCAACAAGAATAACTTAAAAGGCAAGAAATATTTCCGTGTCTGCTCTAGAAATGAAATATGCTCCCCCACCCCCAAATGGGAATGGCATGTGTTAGTTTGCTTATTTAATTACTTGTGGGGAGAGAGAGATTTCGGTAGAACTGAAAACAAAATAAAATAGAAATCTTGCTGCTATAAACTCTTCCCTTTTGAAGATGCAAATGTGTTTCTATTGCCTAGGTAACTACTATGGAACGCCCAAGCCTCCCAGCCAGCCCCTCAGTGGGAAAGTGACTTCCACCGATGCTTTGCAAAACCTGCAGTCTGGCTCCAAGCAGTCGACTCCAAAGCGAACCAAGTCTTACAATGATATGCAAAATGCTGGCATAGTGCATACAGAGAATGAGGAAGAGGATGATGTACCTGAAATGAGCAGTAGCTTCACAGGTAAAACAAAAATATTGTGGTCTGCCAGTTAGGATACATGGGGAAGGTTTCTGGAGGGGGATTTTTGGGTTTTCTTTGTTTTGTTTTTAATGGGTTTCCTGCAAAGCTGTCAATCCCAGACAGAACTGGACAACAACACCTGAATGGCAGATGTCCAGCTGTGGACAATCACATGCACAGTTGTATCTTCTAAAAAGGCCTTGTGGGATTTTGCTGGATGACAAAAAAATGGGGAGAAGTTCAAATCCATTAGTTCCAGAAAGTTCAAGGAAGAGTTGAGCTGTGGTTGACAGTTATAAACAGTATGAAATGGCTCAATCAGGATTACATTTGAAATTAATTGTTGCTCCTTCATAAATAGGTTGCTGTCCTTCTCCCTTCCTTGCATCTAGAGATACCTGTCATGTAAAATACTAGGTCCTCTTCTCCAAGGTACCTTCCAGCAAATTGAGGGCTGCTTGCTGCAGGAATGGGGTCTGAAGCATGGATGTAAGCTCTTTTATTTTGTGAAGGCCTCGTGTCCTGCTGAACACAGATCTCAGTCCCACCGTGGCTACCATCGAGCATTGGCTGAAAGATCACTGGAAACTTTTGCAATCTAAAGTCAAGTGCTGTGCAGACAGATTCAGAGCAAAATACTATTGGGGATCAGTTGAATTTCCACAGAAATCAACTGGAAGTTTGTGAAGCTCAGTGGAGCAAGAGCTCTTCCTCATGTCCGCAATCCTAGTATTTGTTAGCGCTTAGGGCGTTACTTCCTCAGCTCAGTTTCAAGCACTGAATTAATCTTCCTAGCTCCCTTTCAGGTAGGTACTTAGCAAGCAGCATTATCCACACCTTCACGCCTTTCACAGCTGCTTGCTGTAGGTGCTCACCATCACCGGCACTAGGTCCTTTGTCCTCTGGTCGCTTCCTACCACCACGACAATTTTCCTTCCCAGCCTCTGGTGAGTCATAGGAGCCGTCATGCCAGTTCCTACCTGCCAAAGTCCTGGCTCTACCATCTGTATAGAGCTTTCAAAGGATTTAGGCTGAGATTTAGTTTTGCCCCCCTCTGGGCCAAACTGTCAAATGGCTTTGAGGGTTGTGCTCTGTTCGGCTGCTACCTGTTACATATTTCCAACCCAAATCACTCCTGGCTGCCCTAATCCCTCCCAGGCTGGAGTTTCTGTCTCTGCTTACTAGCTCCTTTACAAAGTTTCACGCTGAGGGTAGTTTCTCACACGTTGTGACATGGCAGCATCCTCAGCCCTTTGTCACAGGATCTGATTTTGGGAAGAAGCTGGTGGGAGATGCTGTTTGACCTCCTTGCCGCCTGTCTCAGTTTGGTGCCCCTGAACTAACTCGAGCATCGTTTCTCTTCCTTGTTTTCCTTCACAAGATGAAATACTGGAAGATGCAGCTCATTTGTCACAACGTTATCACCCCCTGGCCCCTTGCCTCCATTAAATGGGCACAGAATCAAGAAAAGAGTTATTTCTCATACACCAAAGTGATTCCTTATGCTTATTTCACATGTAAGTGTGCTAGCCATATTAAAATGCTCCTGCTTCCTTAGAAGACCTCTTGGTGACTTGTGTTTTCCAGACTTTGGCATGTTTACATTCGCAGTCTTAAGCTGGCGATGATTCATTCATGCTTCTTTATCTTGTCAGCTTCTACCTAAAAATATCGAACACCAGGAAGGCTAGAAAGCAGGCGGCTGAGGGTACTGGTATAGTCTACATCTTTTTCTTCCCTCTTCTCCTAGTTTATTATTTTCAGTATCTTGTCATTTTGTAATGGCAGCACACAGACTAGAAATAATGCAGGAGCTGTAGTTAAGGGCCCCTCCAAAAAACCAAGGCTGTGGGCTGTGAGTTGAGGATGTCCGTGGTTTCCAGTCTGGAGAGTGGAGGTGAGGTCTTGGCTGTGAAGCCCTTTCAGTCCCACTGCTTGGGGACTTCGCAGAGCGTGCCACTGATCTCTCTGTCTTTTACTGAGTGTGTTGCCTGCTGGCTGTACCGGAGACTGGTGGTCTCAGGAGATTTGGAAGTACTGCCATTGCTTTATAACACCTGCAAGAACCAAACAGAGGAAATCCCTTTGGTAGACACAGGGATAATTTTAGAATTTGGCTGGTTTTGCCAAAACCTCTCTGTGAAGGAGTTGGGGACACAGACCTGGTTGCCGAGAGCATTTACTGTGATTAGGGGTGGAGGGAATGAGCAGCAGTGTTTCATGGATTCAGCTCCAAACTGCATAGATATAAGCATCAGAAATGTTTCCTTAGAGGGACAACGGCCCGATACATCATAAAATACTCCTGAGTGACTTTGACTAGAAAGATACAGTGATGAGCCGTGGAATAAACCTCCTCAGACAGCTAGAACAGGCACTAGTGAGCAGCAACATGTGGACACATGGTGTAGTGCTGACGTTTATTTTAATTTTTAATTTAAAAAAACCCACTGCACTAAAGACGTTCACCATTAGCTTGTTGACTTTGAGCTTCTGGCTACCTTCTGCACTTGTAAAAATCTCCCCTTTTGATCATTCTTCAAGCAGGAAATTTTAATTCTCCTAATCCCTATCCTACAATTGGCACTGCGGGAGTGAACCTGTAAGCCTGCTCAGAAGCCCATTGAACTTCTCTACATCAGTGAGCCGGGGCCTGAGACAGCTTGGAAGACTTTGGTACCTCAGCAGGGCCTATTACAGCAAACACAGGAGCTGATCACAGCTTCTGATTTGCGCTGGCGAGGGTCTGGCTGGCAGAGTGTGTGTGGGCAAAGCAAGCTCGTCCCTGCTGGCAAAAAGACTGCAGAGTCTCTGCCCTCGGTTCATCTGTTGCTGTGCCTTGCAAATTAAAAAGCAAGGAGAGGAAAACTGTAAGGATAAAGCCGGAGAAGGAAATGGGAGGAGAAAAAGACTGATTTTCAATTTTATTTGTGCTTGTTTATTCTACAGCAGAGTCTGGTGACCAAGACGAGCATAATACGCATATCCTAAGAGAGACAGCCCCACCGTCTGCGATTGATAACCACACCAACGTTCCCACCACGGAACCATCTCAGAACCTCCCTCAATACCTACCTCCTTCTGCCGAGGATAACCTAGGTCCTCTGCCGGAAAACTGGGAGATGGCCTACACCGAGAACGGAGAAGTCTATTTTATAGAGTAAAGCACATTTTTGTTCTAATTCCATCTCTCTCTCTCTCTCTCTGGGCATAAGTAAACCTCCATGGATGCTTTTTGTGTGTGTGTATGTGTGTGTATTAAATATTTAGTGTATAGAGTTATGTTGCAGAGCTGCAAGTTCTTTACTGCTTCTGAAGGGGTTTTGCATTTCCTGATTGGATTAACATCCAAATTACTCCTGAGTTCAAAGGCAGAGGGAATTGCTTGTTTTATGAGGGTAGTTACAAAAGCAACAGACTCTTATAAAATATGGGCCAGTTGTTTTCACGGGTGGGATGAAAGCTCCTAATTGAAAAGGCTGAGACTTCACTTCTGGAGCCTACCCCTGTGCATAATGCAGCAGAGAGAATTCCTCCGGTCACATGCTGAGGCGGTAGCAGAGCCAGGGAATGGACTTCGTGTGTTGTCCTCTTGTCAGAGCAAACGTGTTAACATGCTCCAGAGGTTTGCAGAAGGCACAGCTCAGTGCACAGTAGGCACAGTAAGTTTGGAAAAGAAGTACCTCCTGCTCTGCAGTCTTTGCTTAAGAGCTGAGTGCTGTCAGCAGTTTTATGACGATATTGATTTTTTCATGCCATAAATAATAGTCTCTAATTATACTTGTCTAGATTTATTGAGATAGGAGTAACTTATAAAATGGGACCTGTTAGTGGAAGAGATTTCTTGCACAGAGTTTAGCTAGACATTAAAATTCAATTAGCTTTTGAAACTCAAGCCCTTAGCTGCCTAAGTAGAGGAGGGGGGTGAGGAATTGATTTTGGATTTGATGGTCTGTTTGCTGCAGTCTTGGAAACTGAGATCCTCCGACTGTGTAGAAGAAGCCAGCGGCCAGTGAGTACAGAAGAACATCCTCTGCTAATGCCCCTTGTGGTACTCCGGAGAATTTTGCTGGATTAGGGCAGTAAGAGGAGCAGTCCTGCTCCATCATCGGGAGAGGGGACTTTTGGACAGGACCAAGGAAGGGTTCATCAGAGCAGGTTTTCCCTTGGCTGCAATGGCACGGGAACACGTCAGAGATGATGGTCTCAGGAGCTGGGAGGACTGAGAGCACTGCAGCAGCTCTTCACCAGCTGGGAGAGGGCTGCTGTAAAAAAAGGCCATTTTCCAGGGCGCTTTTAATTACCTGAAGAGGCTCCACCAACCCGCTAGTGTAAGCCAAAGTCTAGAAGGCACAATGCAAATTCTCATCAGCCGCATATCAGATGAAACCGAAATGTGTTCATTATCCCAAGCACAGTATTCTGCCCCTCATTATGTCCTCAGGGTGCCTCATTCTTTGACGTGCTTTCTGGCTTTAATGTATATAACACAGCCTGAGTAATAGCCCATCCAGCCTGCCATTTTCCTCCCCTGGAGGAGGACAGATGATGAGAGCTAAATGCTGCCCAAGTTCCTCCTTTTTCTGTCCCCACGTTGGCCCCTGCTGTCCTTCCTTACACGTGCTTCAGCTAGGGGTTCTGCTGTGGCCACCAATTTCCCCCAAACCCATCCCCATGGCTGCTATATTCCCTGTGTGTGTGTGTTCTCTTAGCAATGCAGGACTAGCACCTTAAATAATTTGTTAGACCTTTTGCAGGAGAATCATATATGCGGTGGAAAAACGTAGCCTGCATACACAACTGTCTGTCTGACATGAAAATCTGGTAGCACTCCCAACTGCTTCCTTCCCTGCAGTGCAGATTGACCATTTTGAGGATACATACACATTGGGGGTGATTTTGTGCAAGAACGTGTTAGTGTGGATACAGCACTGAATGACTGCAGTTCTATTAATTCTAAGGACACCCTCAGCCTAGAAACAATTTAGTTTGATTTGTATCAAATTAAGAGAGCAAGCTAATGAGCTGTGTGGACCCAAGCTGGCTCAGATGTCTGTACCGTCATCGATAGCGCTTTGGGTTATCAAGTCAGGGTGCTGAAGGGAACAGGATGGGAACATCTGAGCTGCTTGCACAGAACCAGCACAGGTCCAGTGGGGCCAGAGCTGCGTGTCGGATAACCGATCCTGATGGCTTGTAGCTGAAGCAATTTGGCTCTTGAGATCTTTTTCTCTGGTGCTTTAATTGGGATTTTCATTACCCAAAGTATCCCAGTCCCTCATTATCCTGCCTGTAGATCTGTGCATGTTACAGGTCTAGCACAATCCTGTCCCTCTGAATGTGTGATCTGAATGGTGTTTAGCTAAATTTTCTGCGCCTCCACAAACTACAGTTACAGGCCTTTGGTTAGCGAGACAAAGTTGCAAGAAATATGCAAATATTCTATTGCTCTCCTCCCACCGCCCTCTTTCTCAGCTAGACTACAGACTTTCTTATTTATAATTTGGCAGAACCCCTCTGCTTTACTGCCGTTAATTTGCCTGACTTGCTGAATTTCTGCCACTCAGTTTTCTAGTTGGCGATTAATTGCTCTGAAGGATTAAATTGCTCAAAAGGATTAAACATATTTGCTCATCCTGCCTTGGGAGGGCTGGGTAGTAGGATGTGTAAAACAAGGACTTTTTATTTATACACTCGCTTCCTAGGAGCAGGGCAGTCCCCTCTTCTCGCTGTAAAACACAAGTTTGCTGGTCGGTTGTTAGTTCCTCAGGGATCATAGCCCTCATTACGGCATTTCCAGCTTCATGAGATTGTTGTGAGGCTAAGGTCAAGTTTGTAAACCTCTCTGAGACCTTGGAGGAGCAGTAAATAGCATTACTACGGTATTGAAACTTAAAACTGTTAAGCAGCGTTAAAGGCTAAGCTAGATAAATGATACCTCGGCGACTGGAGGGATATCTTTGCAGGTTATGCATAAGATGACATCAGGTTGTAGAAGAGTTGTTATATTACAAGATTGTCTGCATATGCAAATGAAATGATGGGAGAAAATAATTTCTAGAAAAATGTATTTTAAGCCTGTTTACTATGCAGCCTCCACCGCTGGGACTGGCATCGCGATACTGTCAGGGGACTTGTAGAAAGGAAGAGTTGAAAGTAAAGCTGTTCGACTTCCATCAAAGGCTTTGACAGAACATTTTTATTTGTGTAATTAAAAAGTTTTCACTGGAAATTTTGGGTTTGACTAATGCTTGGGTCAAATCTAGACAAACGTCAAAGGTCTTCTGTAGGAACAAAGACCACTGTGTGGTTTAGGGAGGAAGGGAAACTTCTGTCTTTTTGTCAGGAGGCAAATGGCTCGGAGACAGCTCCTGGTATTAAGAAATAAACTACCAAAGACAAAAGTTTGGAAATTGATAGTATAATATTGCAGCTGTCACATGTGTCATTCCAGTCAGGAATGCTGATTTGTATATTTTTACTTTTCACCTTTGTGTTTTCAATGCAAGATTCTTGTGATTTGGTAGACTAGTTTGCAAAACATCAAATTGTAATGCTGTTTCTTCTGAAGCAAAACTATGCCTTCAGGTCTGTTGAATAATAAAGAGGATATATACTTTTATGTCACTGATACTTCAGCTCTGCTTTATTAACAAAGGTCATATTTCCATTTTTGGTTTCCAGCCATAACACAAAAACAACATCTTGGCTAGATCCACGGTGCCTGAACAAACAGCAGAAGCCTCTAGAAGAATGTGAAGATGATGGTAAGAGACTGAACATAGTGAAATAATAATGTGTTCGTTCATTTCTAGGTGGCTTTCTTCCTTTCCTTTTCCCCTTTCCAATAATCTGTGTTCAGAAATACTTTTAAAAGGTTTATTAGTAAGTGCATAGAGAAAATATCTGTTGTGTTGTAAAATCACTGTCTGTGTATGTCAAATAGCTATTGAGATGGCCGATCATTTAATAAAAATCAAAGAGGTGCTAGAAGTAAGAGGCCGGTGTTTTTGCAAAGGCATTTGAATAGTCACTGATGCTGAACAAGACTCAAAGCTTTCTAACATGTTTGCTCATTGGATTGCTGTGTAGGAGGAAAGCGACTTGAGTCTCTGCATGCTCCGTTGTGTTACGCTTCAACCACCTGCTTTACATGAATTGAAAGAGTTATGTTGTTATTTCCTTGTTTGAGCAGAAAAAACTCAATTGCTTCACTTCTACTATTAAATTCTGACAGTCTGCTTAGTGTTATGATTGCTGAAAACAAATTCCATTTGAAAGTGTAGATTTTTGCCACTGAAAATTTACACTGATGTAATTTTGTATTCCTTGAGATGTTAGAAATGCAAGCCACTGTCCAATTTAGAGCAGCCAAATGCAGGACTGTTAAAGGAGGTTCTTTCCCTGCATCCTTTAGGAGATGCTGGAAGAAAAAAGGAATCATATGAAAATAACTTAAATGTTTGGGAAAACCTGTATGGAAATTTCAAGCTACTGACCAGGAAAGGTGATGGTATTCTAATGCAAAATTTGGCTAACACAATGCTATTATGGTAGACATATCTTAAAAATGGAAGGATTTACTTCGTCAGTGTTGGTGCTTTCCTTGTAAAATCAGTTTTCATGATTAACCTCCCACTGGTGTGAGTCAGCTCAATAAGAATTACGATTTTATTTCTGAAAAGAATCAACTCAATCCCTTTTTACTGGTAGGTTCAAATCTGGCCTCCAGAACTGCTGTTACTATTTTTGCACATGCAGTTTTTCAACCTCTGCTTCCTTTCACGTGTGAGATTTTGCAGGATGTGAGAATTGGCCTGCGCATCCTTTGCTATTGCGATGAAGCAGGTCACCAACTTCCTAGTGACAATGCAACGTACCCCTAAACCACATGGATGTGCAAAGCCCAGGCAAAAACCGAGCACGCCGAGCTGACGCCTGCTTCAGATCCTTAGCAACTAGCATCATCTGTTAAGGAGCGAGCGGAGGGAGCTGGATTAATGAAGGCCTTGCTCTGCGCCTAAAAATGGATATGTCAGTGGGTAATCAGAACTGGAGCAAAATTAAATAACAGCATACGCAGGCAAAGCTCCTTCCTCCTTGCAGCTAAGCATTGCTGGCAATTAAAAGAGGAGGTTGCTAAGTCTTAGCGTAAGCTTTCCTCTTTCAGAGGGTAGTTTTCCCTGAAGCATAACTTCTGTCCTGGCTGTCTCTACCAGCAAGACTCCCGCTACATGGATAGCCCCGGCGATGCCAACAAGCGGTGCGTGCCGCTGCGGGTCAGCGTGCCGCACGCTGTGCTCCGAGCCAGGGCAAGGAGCAGCCGGTAGGATGAGTCAACAACGGGGGCTGCGCTCCTCTGGTAAACAGTTGTAAGTCTCCTCGCAGAAGGGAAAGTCTTTCTCTTGTCCTCTTAGCAATTACAAAACAAACATGGGAATAATTTATTTTATTGGGATTAGAAACGTACAGCTGGTATTTTTGTATGTAATTAAACGTATAATTTTGCGGAGTAGTGGCATTTTTGTTTGTCAGGTCCCTGGAATCAGCTAATTTCATCTTCCCCCACACCCCTTCATTCACTAAGTTTCTCGTTAATGAATATTTTAAACATTCAATAGTTAAACCAGTTGCTTCGTAGGTACAGCAGTGCACTGCACTGTTTTGCTTGGCTGCTCCGATCTTGCTTTGCACATAAGAATAATTATATTTCAGAAAACAATGTGAGCGCAAAGAAGAGAGAAGGTTATTTTTACTGCATCGTAGAAGCTGGACATTTTTGGCAAGGGTCGCTGTAGGGTGTATTTCCACTGAAGTCAGCGGGACTCCTCCTCTGTTTTGTTTGTTGTGTGTGTGCGCGCGTGAGTTTTCAGGCTTGATCTCATCCTGTTTGTGGTTTTTATAAATGTTAGATGTCGTTTCAGATTTGTTTGGGTGCAGTTGCCTTGTGTTTTTTCTTCATCAGGATACGTGTCCCTGACAAGTTTTTGGTCGTTGCCAGTTGTTTAGGCTATCAAAGGAAACTGCAATTCATATTTATGCTAACGGTCCTAAACAACTGCTTTGGTAGAATATATTGCAAACAGGTTGTGGAAGTGGTTTTTTAGGTGTCCAAATTTTCAAAAGCAATGCCGTGACACTACATCATCTGTTTGCTTCTATCATTCATTTATGTGGCTTATACTTCAGTGTATTAGGTCCAAGACTGTTTTTACCATCTTTGTTCTGGTTTTGTCATCATCTTTCATTTTCAGACTGCATTATTATTATTTATAGGCTAAGCAATACTTTAATCATCTGTGTCACTGTTAACTTATGAATATGGAGCAGATAATGATAAATGGAGCAACAGTGAATATTGATGGCTTTGTGTCTTTGAAAAATTATGTGATCTTTGTCCCAGGTGCCTCGCTAAAACTGGTGCATTCCTGTATATGCTTCACCAGTGCATCTGGACTTCGGTGTGGACCTGTGCCTCCAGTGAAACAAGGCGCTTCGCTTCATGTCTCTCTTAAATCATCTGAGTAGTTACAGTGAAGTCAATTGGACCTTGTATGCACGTAAATTTATGTACTTTCTTGAAAACCTTGCTACATTAGTTCTTATTTATATGCAAGGTTTTCCTCTCAGATTTCTTCATTAGTATTCAGGTCTGGCCTTCTGATAGATCCGTGTCTCTACAGAACGGATTGCAAAGGTTGGACTGTACAGATCTGAGGGAGAAGCTTCACTACAGTGAGAACAACACAAATGTGTTACTTTGCCATATCAAACCGTGGCATGGAAGTAGTCAATTGATACAGATATTTTGAGAATGCAAGAACCAATTCTTTCATTACCTACATCAGATCCATCAATATTCTGATCACTAAAGTGTGATAAATGGAAAGCTTGGGCTCGGTCTGTAGAAAATTAGTGCTGGTTCTGCTGTTTGCTGTAGGGAATTTCTTGCTTGGTGCTGGTATCTGAAATTTTCTTTTAATTTTTTCTGTCTCATTTACTGCTCTTCCCTTGGAGAAGAAGGGGTACACACGGAGGAACTGGACAGTGAACTAGGTAAATCATCCATCTCTCGTTTTGATGTTTGACTTCAACCACACTGTTTTAAGCCTTTAATTACTTACTTTCTCCTTTGTATCATTTTGCATCTTTCAGTTTTTTTATTTCAACAAGCCTAATTTATCAGCAAAACTTCCCTAGCCCACAAAGCATTAATCTTCCCCTTGCTTCAGATCTAGTGTTTTTCTTACTGATTCAGAGTTTGAAGAAAGCTGGAGGGCCTTAATCTTGCAAAGTTTGTTTGAGGTTGTTTCCTCCTGGACCCCACAGAAGTCAGGGGCTTTTCCACTGGCATCACTGGCTCCACGAAAAAGCTTATAGATGCCAAAGTTGTAATCAAGTAGCTAATGATGCTTTTTCACTGGGGCCACAGACATTTCCCAAACAAGAGAAGCAAAGTGTGATTTAGAAAGTTTAAGTATTACATAGGATGCTTCTGCTGAGCTTGTGAATGAAACAGCTGAAAATTTTGCCTCAGTAGGTGATTTTATAAACAGATGATTTTCAATGATGTGGTACACTTTTATTTGCTGCATCTTTTTGTGAAGAATGCTGTCTTGATATCTAATCTCAGCAGTACTTATTCTGTTTATACTGATGGTGGAGGTAGTTGTTATTTCTGTTCAGCTATGCTCTAGTGCACTTGGAAAGCTGAAAGGCATAAGAGGTTGCATAGGATTTTATTTCCACTAGGTCTATTATTGCTTTTAAAAAAGACTGTATTTACAGTTTATAGTTCTGCATACTGGAGGGTTGTATTACCAGAGAATTAACCTCTGGCTTCTGTAATGACTTGCAAGCAAGTGTATTCTCCTTCCTGCTTCTGGGTGATTGATATGGCATCAGCAGCCAGCAGCTATCGAGTGGACTTTTAACGCTACGCCAGGAACTGCTCTTCTGGATAATATGCCTGGAATAATGTTGGAGGCCTAGCTTCTTTTAGTGCAAGAATTTGAAAGAACTGACAATGTAAAGAAGAATGCAGTCGCTTTAGTGGTACACTAGCAGTACGCGCAGCTCATACAAATAATCAGCAGCCGACCAAGTAACATCAGAAGCAGGTGGATGCACACCAACAACCTGCAAAGATTTCTCATGAAGGTCTTCACAAAGGGTGACTTAAAATAAGAGAGAGGTTCTTTCAGTCTCATACGAGGATCTAGTGCAAGAGAAGAGCAGAAAAAATAGATGCAGGGAAACTCATTAATTGATAAGCCTGACCCCAGTTCTGCAGGCACTTACATACACAAGTGTTTTGCTGGAACATCATGAGATGTTCCCTTTGTTTTAATGCAGATAAGCTTTATTGAGCTCACAGCCCATCGATGTACTTTCGGGATTTGCGAATGTTGCAGTGTAAAGAAAGACATTTTCAAATGGTTCAACTGGTTGCAGCAACGTTAGGGAGGGAGCGTGAAAACTTATGGCCTATTCATTAACCGTGCTCGTGGTTAATATAAACTGGTTGGTGCCAGATATTTAGCTCCTTAGCTTGTCAACAGTTTCTGTTCTAAATATAAGAAAATTAAAACTTGAAGCATTTGCACAACTTGTTTTCCAAAGAGGTGGCTTGAATATGGAGTAATAAGTCACCTCTTTCTAACAGAAGGTTCTACAAAAGGACACAATAATTTAACCTTTAGAGTAGAATTTGACATACGCTTGTGCAGATCCTCCCGTCCTCACAGGGAGCAGTAAGAGCTGAGTATACTGAAGTCATCTCCAGCTCCTTTTTAGTGATGGATGGGTGCGACTAAAATAGCTGGCGGTTGGAGAAGTTTTTTTTAAGAATCCATCCATCCCCTCTGTAGGGTAGGATACTAAACAAGAGCATCTCAGTAGGAATCTGTGTATTTACCTCAGGCTTAAAAGTGTAAAATTGGGTATTTGTCCATTGAATTTACCTGCTGACAAATGCTCTGAGACTGCAGAGTGCTGCATGGATGTGCCAAAATAAAAACCATATGGCTCACTAAGGCTCCTAATGATGCAAAATGTTTTTGGAAATCTCATACTTGTGATAAAATCTAATGCTCTGGGTCATCTTCAGTTTGGCAGGAGAGGTAGAGAGGAGAGATGAATAATTTAAAGCCTCTAAGAAGCTAGACTGTGCAGCATGACTGTGGAGAATATTGCCTTTTGCTTTAGAGAACTTTCAGAGGCTTTTAGAAGTCAGAAAGCGCATCTACGTAATCAACGAGAAATGTGTCGAGAGCTGCAGTTTTGTGTATTGTTATTTCCAAAAACATAGAGAAGTGTTCCTTAAATGGAAAGCTGCAGAGATAGAAAACTGGAAAGATTTTGGCACAATACCATTTTTGGGGTTAGGAAAGTGCTGGTTTTCTGACCCTCTGTGAAAATTCTTTAAAAGAAAAGAAAAAAAAAATTAATAGCAAAACCTTTTGTGAATAGAAGAAAAGCAGAAAAAGTTTTTGTTTAAACTTTAAAAATAGCAAACACTTAATAGTCTAAAATAGACAAAAGATATTTGGCAGGAAAACTTGTGGAAAAGTTATTTTAAGGCATTTGTGCATTACTTCTCCTCTCCCTCATTCACTTTTTATTTTTCTTCCACCCCCAGCTTGGTCTCCTTACCATTCTGCTCTCACCATAGTGCAATGAGTTAATGGCTGCCACAACTTGTGATTTCCCTGGTTGCATCCTAGGTCTTAATTTAATTGCACTGAAACTTTTTAAGCCAGTCCCACAACGTTTTCACTATACGGGACTCCTCTGCAAACCTGAGAGTTCCCTTTGCGAAAAGACTTTCAAGATTGGCCTTTAGCTTTCTAACTTTTTCTCACGTACACTTGCACACTGTAAAGGAATCTCTGTTTCTGAAGCATTTATTTCAGATCAATCTGCTGATAAAATTGTGGAGTATTTTCATGCCCAAAAGTTAGCACTGGCTTGCATTTAATTGCTTATGTCTCAAGGAATCCAAAGATGTTAAACCCAATAAGGATAAAATAGTAAGAATGGAAAACCTACCTTATATCTGCAAATAAGGGACGTGTGGAGCAAAAACCATGAAAATCGATTTCATCTGATCTCCAGCCAATTCTGAACACAAACATAAACTTTGAGTAATTAGTCCGTGTGTGTTTGTATAGATTCTGTTCATCTCCAGTCTGGAGATATTTCTATCCTTATGGTGACATAGTTGAAGTCTATAAATGCAGAACTAGATAGTTACATTTGTTCTAATTAATGGGCCACTGTTGATTGTATTGGCTCAGCAATTGATGCCAGTAATGAAAATAAATCTTTGCATTTGATAATAAGCAGATTATTTACTATCAGCCTTGTCAATTTAGTGATAAATTTTCAGAAATTGTTTTGCATGGGGTATTTAAGCTTGTGTTATCTGACAATGGCTTTTTTTTTTTTTTTTTTAATTTAAATGAATGTGCAGAGTCTGTGGGACCACACTTGCACAGTCCATAGCATGGTAGAGCCTTTTTTCGAGCTGAGTCACAGTATTACACAAACGCACCACTCTGTATTGTTAATAGGATGATTACTTCAGTACCCACAGCCAACGGGAACATTGTGTTTAAATAAGTGGGACAAGGATCAGGCCCTTAAGTAATACATACAGTTTTAATAACCCTCAGTTGGATGCTGAAGTGATTTTATTACATTCACTAATTATAGTTAAAGTACTATGTGCGGTCTAGAAAATGAACAGGAACAAAAGCGGATACGTTTCCAAATGTTAATTTCATCTTCAGAACTGTTTTTTGTTAATTATGCTAATTAAAAAAGGAAATCTCTGTTACATGTGATTATGGCAATATGTGTTTTTACATTAAGTGCTATACAGCAAAATACATCTGTGTGTGCCAGCCCCACTTGGGTGGATTCCATGTGCCGGGCGTTTACGTTAAATTCGCTTTGTCCTGTTTCAAGATGCGCTTTTGTGTTGGACTCACTGCTGAGTGATGCAGTGTAAATCCCTAAGAAAGGAGTCAAACCCCCCTTTTTTTTTTTCCAGCAATAGTGAGCATAAAAGGCTCAGGCCTGGTACAGGAGACAAAAGTGGTCTCTCTGTTAGTGTGCTACAATTGCTTGCCATAATCTTGCCTGTCTTCAGCGGTTGGCATTAAAATGCCTCTGGCCTGTTGCCTGCATCGACTTCCACTGCAGTGCTCCATCCAGGGCACCTCTGCCCATGATGGTGAAACCAAGGGGGTACTTGAGGCACTCTCAGAAAGGAAATTTATTGATCACTTGTTCATTTAATGGAAAAAAAACAAATCTAAAATTGGCTGGCATGGGCATCTTCCCACTGATTTGCTAACCTAGCACTGGTAGGACAGGCTGTGCTACGCCAGCCTTTAAAAGGAGGCTGTGATCATTCTGAAAAGCTTTTGAAGCAAAGTCTGAGCTACTGATGAGTTTTGCACGCAGAGCAGGAGCAGCTACCTGTCAGAAAAATCTGCATTGGAGGCTTCAGTAATGTTTTTTCTATTTCCAGAGTTGCCTGCTGGTTGGGAGAAAATTGAGGATCCCGTATATGGTGTCTACTATGTAGAGTAAGTGCTGCTCTCCGGTTCTGGTGTGGCTGTCGCGTGGAGGAAGGCTTTCCTCCGCAGCAGTCTGTATGCTTTGTTGGTAGTATCTCATACCGAGGAGGAGGAGGAGACCCTGGCCCCTTAATGGCTGGGGGATGCTATATTTGCTGGGAAAGGGCAGCCCTGCCTTGCCATTCTCCATCCTCTGGTGGGCTGTGGCTGCAGCACCCTGGGGTGGGCTCAGGGGATACAGGAGCACCCCGGGGTTGGGGTGTGCAGGAGTCCCAGCACCTCACAAAATACCTCCATCCAGAGAACATTAACAAGTGTGCAATTAACTGAGCTTGATCTCCTTCGTATAGTGCTATGATCAACATGCGAGCGTGCAAAGCAGACCACCAATTCAGTTACAAGTCAGAAGACGCTCAAAGGGAGGAATGGATGAGCCTGTGTGACCAAACAGCCACAGCAGAGGTTCTTGCATCAGGCTGTGTTGTTGTGAATAGAATTACAGGTTTAATGGGACTCTCTCCGGAATTAGAACAGCTTCTTCTTTATCTAGATGTCAGATCACTCCCTAGGGAAACCAGAGATCTGAGTTTTGTTTCATCACTGACCCCATAAAATGAATTTTTAATTATGTGTATACTCCTGTCTAGTAGGATGGCTTATGATAGCCCTCAGAATAGACATGGAATACAGTTTCTGTCTGCTTTGGCTTATTTCTGACCCTACCATCTGTGCCTCGGGAAACAAGGTTAGCAAACTGTGTAATTAAGGCTTAACATTTATTTACCAAAGACATCAAGAATATTTTTTGGCTATTAAATGCCATGCCAAGAGTTCCTTACAGCATTTTTTCCTGTCACTTTATATATACGTGCCTGTTAGTTTTATAGCACTCCTGAGTGATGAAATTAAATAGAAAAGTAACAGCAATGAGACATAAGTTTATTTTATTTGCTATCTATAAGCTAGCAAGATGGTTATAATTTGAGCATTTGTCTCTGTCTCTTCCAGTTCAGGCACTCTATAATTGCATAATAGTTTTTATTGAGAAACAACTGTATCATGAAAAGGTTTATATCATTTTTAAAGTAGTTATTTGTTCTTAAGTTTCTGAAGATATCTTGAAATGGGAAATTAGTTAAATATTTTTCCAGTGATTTAATATTGATCTTTAGCAGAAAAAAATCTTAACATAACTATCTAGAGTGCTGATATTGTGATTACTTGAAAAAGTGGTTGGTTGTTCATTTGGGTTTGATTTGTTTTGTTTTGTTTTTTTAAATAAAGACACATGGGACAAGAGACAATAAAATAGTAAGTTCATAATGGTAAACTTTGCTTTGGATACAATGATGGGCTTTAAGCTAATACAATTTCCTAAGGTCTACCTGCTCCTCTGCTGTAGCAAAATCACTACTGAAAAATTGCTCTTGAACAGTTGATGAGCAGCTCATCTGATCTGCAGCGAGTGCCCAGACCTGCCGCCACCGCCCTGGCATCTGTGGCTGGTGTTCGTTGTTTGGTTCATAAAATGGTTAATCCTCTGTGGAGCGCATTGCTTGTCTGCCATGTTTGGGGCTGGGCTGCTTTTTTTTCCTTTTCCTGAGATTGGTGAGAGGTATTGGCTCGAAACATCTCATACGGGTCAAAAGCTGCCTAATGGCCCTCCAAGGAGGACAGCTCAAGTTTCACCAAATGCTAGTTTCCACTGGGAGTTTTGCTGGTGGCTGATTCTGAATATATTTTGGTCCATTTAGAGCCCAGCTTTTTCAACTCATAGCCTGCGTCCCTGCAGATATTTGTAAGACACCCTGTTAATAGTGTGCATTGTTCAGATAGCTGACAGATGTTACCAGTTGTTGGGTTTTGGGTTTGTGTTTGTTTGGTTTTTTTTAATTTCAGTGAGCCAGGGAGTGACTGCACCTCTGGAAATCTGATTAAAGCAGGCATGATATAGGCCTGTCTTTTAAAATGCAATGAGACAGAGCGCCTTTTCTGTTTTAATCTCATTTTTCACAGATAGATCACTACTTTAATGTATTTGAAGGAATTAGCCATTCCTACTCAAGACATCATACCAATACTGGAATCCGCTTGTTTTCCTAAATATGCTTTTTTGGCACAACTAGGTGAGCCTTGCTCCACATACACTGCTGTTGGGTTTGTTTGGTATTTTACTCCTTTCCTCAGAGGAGTTTCATGCCTGGCCGTCATTCCTGCTTTTCACATAAAGGGTTTCCTAATTTATTGCTCTGTTTCATCTCCAGCCACATCAACCGGAAGACCCAGTATGAAAACCCAGTTCTTGAAGCAAAGAGGAAGAAACAGCTTGAGCAGCAGCAACAGCCACCAGAAGGTTGGCACCACCAAAGCGTGATGATTGGGCTTTTCATGAGGGAACGTGCCCTCCCTTGCCTTGGCAGCACCATGCCAATATGTTTGTCCTTCCTTCTGTGGCCTTAGCATTTAAAGGCCAAATGACGTGCATAGGAAAGGTTGCATATGCCCTTCATGTAAGGTGCAGCAAAAGAGAAAATCTAAACCGTATAACCACTTAAACATAGTAGCTTTCACCCTGCTAAAGGGGAGAGAATTTTCTTTTAATGTCCTTTATTTCTGAAAAGTTTCTAACCTTCCCAGAGACAATCAAAACGCATGTTTTCCTATGTAATCTGCTCCATCAAGTTACTCACTGTAGCTGGTGGTGTTCCAGTCTGTATTGGGACTCACAGGCTACCAAAGGGGATGAGGAGTGGGCATTTACATGCGCACTAAAGAAATCCCTCTGAATGAGAGACTTCTTAACCCAAGAGCTTCGGGTTGTCAAGCTCTAACATTTGAAGTAATTTCATTATTTTAAAACACTTCCCCCCTGCCTTTTTTTTCTTTTCTTTTTTTTTTCTTCCCTTTAAATGCAGCCCAACTGTAGTGAGGGGCCTGTCACATTTGGGTTTGTTTTGGTACCTTCGTAGCTTTCACGCCAAGTTACTTCACAACAGTTATTATCCAAGGGGAAAATAATTTAGGCTTCAACATTCCTCCTGCAGCCCCATTTCCCACAACATTAGTTCTTCTACTTAGATGCCATGAGTGCCGTGGGGAATAGATTTCATATAAATGTCGAGACCACTTAGATGCAAATCAAGTCCCAAGTTCGAGAGGGAGATAGGGTGTCCCAGCAGATGGATTAGTTGACCTGGACATAGAGAGTCCTCCAGAACTGATTTTTGGACATCCCACTCATTTTATTCCTTCTGTCCGTGACTCTGTTTCCTCTCTTGCCATGCTTCTCACGTCTCCTCTGCTTGAACCCCACACTCCCAGTGTGTGTACGTGCAGGAGCTCATAGTGCTGTTGTGAAACGAGTAACATTTCCCTCTCTGCCCTCTCTAGAATGGACAGAGGAGTGTCCATCTCTCCCACCACCCGCTGCTCCAAACCATGTTTCAAACAACCAAGAGACAGTTCGGGAAGCGCCAGTGCAAGGTAACAACCTTGTTAAACCAGTTGTAAAAGTGCAACAAGGTTTTTTTCCTGAGAATGAAATTCCCTCAGCCATGAGCAAAGGGAGTATCTCCATGACTAGTGTCACACGCCAGGGAACGTGCCTGCTTATCTGTATTCCCATAGATTTTAAGACTAGTTGTTTCGAGACCACATTTGTTGCCAAATGCAAGAGGCAAATGAGATCACCTGCATCAGAAAAGGATTGTGGCTATTCTCTGTGTAGCGTTCCAAATCTTTAAAAAGGCATGGTGAAAACGTGAGTTACAACATCGGTGGGATTTAGCAGCAACTTACAAGTGCGAGTAGGAGGAGACTCTTTTCTACGGAGCTGTATGGATATGCAAGGATTAGGCTTTTACACCTTCTAAACTCTACTGAGTTTAAAATATGGCTCTTATAATAAGATCTAGTGCAGAGATTTCCTTCTGTTCTCATAGGTCAACATTCCCTCCCAAAAAGCAGCACAAAATTTCACCATGTTGCACTGTGATTAAGACACAGACATGCATTAACGTGGTAACGTGAGAGCCAAAGCCAGTGTGACCCCATGTCTGCATTTGTGGGCAGGTAGGGTTTCAAGTGAAAGTATTTTAAGAGTTTAAGAAAACTGGTCAGCATGTTTGGGAGCTGTGATATGCATAGGTTGTCTGCACTGCTGGGCAGGACCTTGGTTTTGGAGTGCTTGGGGTGTCTTGGTTGCATTTGTGACATCTGAGCAGCCAGGTTCTGGTATTGCCATGGATGAGTCTGGCTTGCAACTTTATGGAATCTCCTTTTTGTGTGCTTTGAATCCAAATGAAAATCTGGGGGGCATAGGACCTGAGGGGAACACCAGAAGAGGGAGATCCTCTGCCACTTGGAGACCTTTGCAGAGCTACCAGGCCTCCCGTGCTGAATCTCTGTAGTAACAGAGGCTGAAGAGGCATAAGTGCCATGGCCATATGTTAGGAGCAAATTACAACATGTTTCTGCAAAATCTAAGTTGAAGGTCCTCTGGAAAGTTCTGCATGAGGAGAGAATGACAGTAAGTCCAAATGCTGCAGACCTACTATGAAGCTGTACACATGTACAAGTACTTTGGGCTATGACAGCCTTATTTATTAGCATCAATGGTCTGTGTATAGCCAACTGTTCACAAACCAGTTGCTTGTCTTAAATAACTGACCAGACAGACTTGAATTGTTCCTGAATTTGCAGTGTGAGCTGAAACATTGCCAAATCAGGTTGCCAGCAGGGACAGAGAGTTCCACTTGTACCTGTTGCAGTCTTAAGTGCTCTCTGGTTATAAGTGCTTGTAAGTAGGCTTCATCTTTGGGTACATCTAAATTGCATGGCTTTGCCCTGGTCTGCAGGAGCCAGAGGCTGGGGAAGGTGAGAGAGGGGGAATCTGGCTGGACATCATCGTGACAGAGCTGGGAGCAGCTGGGGGGAGGCTGGCCCTGGGAGCTGGGAAATACTCCTGTGCTCTGCAGGTCGGCCGTGGTGAGCCTGGCCGGGGTGCTGCTGTCCCAGCAGCCTTTCCTGCCACGAAGAGCCAGGGAGTGCTCTCTGCGGCAGGTGGCAGCAGGTCAGCCCTTCCAAAACAGATGTTGTAAATTTAGCAGTATCCAAAAGCCCCCAGCACATTCCCGAGGGGTATTGGAGTAATCCGGACTCCCAGCAAGGAAAAACGCGGGAGGTCTGGGGATGGTACCCAGACCACCAGGCATCTGGGGTTAAGCATGTCATCAGCATGCCCCAAAAATGCTGGTCTTCCTCGGGGAGATACCTGTGAATGCCACCTCTGCCTTTTACACTGTCAGGCTGAAGCAAAGGCTGCCCAAGCATCCGTGCACGGCAATGCAAAGGACCCGTCAATGCAGGGGATGACGTTAGAAGCCTTACTCAGCTCTCCTCCCACTCCTGACTGCCAGCCACCGAAATTGTGCAGCAACATTACAGGAGAGCATTAGCCTGTCTCGGCACCACTCTGAGTGACATGTCCTGGTACCCGCTGATGACTCCTTCTCTCTTTCATTCCTTCCTCTTCCTTTCTCAGTGCTGCTCCCTCTTCTCTCGCTCCCCATTGCAGCAACTATTTCCAGCTTCCCTGTCCCCCTGCCCTATGCCCAGGGGTTTCCATCTCTCCCACTGAGGGCACTGCTGGCAGCGACATGGGCATAAGGACCCTGGCACTGCTCTCCCACCTGGGGTTTTGTAGATACAATCATTTAAAACGCGATCCCCTCCCAAATGCTGTGGGTGGGACATAGCCTGTGGTGCTGCTATCCTGTTAGCGCAGGGCAAGTTCACCCCGTATTTGTAGGCAGATGCCAGCAAGCTGTGCTTGTTCTGCTTGTCTTTTGAACCAGAAATCAGCACAGGACCAAGCCCCTCTGCATGCTGCCTCTCAGCCGTATTTGTTACCTGAGACGTTGGGTTGCACTTTGATAGTCAGGGCTTTTTTACAGCTTGGGGTCTGAGCGGAGCATCTGCCCACGATGTGCAGGATTACTGTGTTCCTGCGCTACCCTTCAAAGGCAGAAGACCGCAAGTCCTCACACTGCCCCCTCATGAATAATCTTCAAATATACTTTTTTTTTTCCCCCCCAGTCAAAGGCTTACGAGTCTCAAATCCCCTCACTCTCCCTCAAGGTCTCTTTTCTGAACCGAGGCCCATGGCAACGCTGCCGAGGTTTTTGAAAGTATGCCAGCTCTCCCGGCTGCAATACACACTGCTGATCCTGAAGCTGTCACCAGAGGGCTTAGTGGCACAGGCTTTTCCCCTCTAAGCATTAAAAACAATTAAAAGTGCAAAGGTGTTTAGTGTTGGCACTGTGAAGTACAGCAAGCGTGATCCCTTTTCCGAGCCTGTGCAACATGCTTTGCAAGGATGCGCTTTTGTCTTTGGAGCACCTCATTCCTCTTAACCGTGTTCCCAGAGAGCATTAAGAGCCCTCCAGCACAGCCGCTCCGGTCCCGGGCTGCTCTTTGATCCGTACTTCACAATGGCAGCGTTTCATCCACAACAGGCAAGGAGCAGAAAGGCAAGAGAAAAGACTTCAAACGGTGTCTGAAGAACGACATCAGTGTCCTCCCCTTTTTCACTGGAGGAGGCCACAGGGTGGTAGCGATGTGGGGTGGGGGGGGTCATGCTAAAGGGTTACACGGTGTCTTGCCAGAGCTCAGAAGTTGCTTTTTGCTCGGTGGGTTGGGAGAAGGCCAAGTGGTGAAAAACATAATGTTATTCCTTTCTGCAGAAATTCTCGCTGCAGACTCCTTCTGTAGGAGGCATTTGTGCTGCCCCTGTCCCATCCTTCCTGGGATGGATATAACCACCTCAGGACAGAGATAAGACACATATCTAAGCCAGCATTGCCAGCTTTGATATATTTCATTCTTTAAAGCAGCATGTTTTCCCCTTTGTAGCCTTGGGTCTTTGGTGTGCACAACCACAGCTAACAAAGTGCCAGGTACTAGGGGTTTGTGCTCACTCCTTTTACTGCATGATTGGATCCAAGGAGACGGGTGGAGTGCGATGAAGTGAGAAGATGCTGGAGTGAAGTGCAGTCCTGTCCCAGCACACCACTGTGTTTGTCTGTGTACTTGTTAGAACGGGGAGGGGCAGAGGAAGAACAGATCAAACGCTCTTGCCTGCCTGTTTATAGATTTTTCCAAACTTCCTACACAGGAAAACCTTTTTTTACACGAAACCCTTCTGAGTTGAAAGGCAAGTTCATCCACACCAAGCTAAGGAAAAGCAGCAGGGGTTTTGGCTTCACCGTCGTTGGAGGGGATGAGCCGGATGAATTTCTCCAAATCAAAAGTTTGGTGCTTGACGGCCCCGCAGCGCTGGATGGCAAAATGGAAACAGGTACCGATGCTTTATATCAAAATCACCACCACCACCACTTTGATTTGTATTTTTACTGCTGATTTTATGTGCAATTCATAAAGAACTGTAGCCCTCATCCCCTTTTTGGGGAAAGGCATTCAGCTTTCCCATTAGGAAGCGAGATATATAAAGGGGTATGTTCAAAATCTTACAGCAAGGCACTTTATGTCCTGGAATTTCTCAGGTGCCAAAATAACTAGCTGGGACTCTACCAGCTCCTGCTCTCCCCATGCTGACCTGTGGAGAGGAGCCAGCGGTTGTGGGGTCCCACAGCAGGCTGTGGGTTACTGCTCCCCACTGTGGCAATGGCTGCTGTATTTTTGTAGGGCTGCATCACTATGTTTTGCGTATCTGCCATGCCGCTCACCCCTCCTTCCAAGCTACTCCCAGGGAATGGGTGGAGGAGTGGGCTAGTTTGCGTTTCCCTATGTGGAGGTGCCAAGGGCCAATTTGTTTTGCCAGAGATCAGGCCCAGCATGATGAAATCCTGTTAGGATTCACCTAAGGTCACAACTCCTCACTTGCAGGTGGAACATCATAACATTAAACATCCCGGTGTTGTAGCCCCAGTGTTAAAAAATGAATGATAACTTAATCGGTACCTAGATTTCAGGCCAAAGTATGTCTGAGACGTGACACGTGGCACCATATTTGAGCAGTTGGTATTTGAGAGCCTTCTGTTATAGCTCTCGTGCTCTCAGTTTTGTTTCTATCATATGTCAGTGTAGCACAGCGTATAACAGTGAGAGCCAGGCTTTGAAATAACTGTTAAATGGGCCATATACCGTCATTTGAATTTATTAATTTTTTCATGAGGCAATTCCATTTTCACTTTCAAAAATGTTTATGTACATAAAGGCTTTATGCAATGAATCCGTTGCATATAGAGAGTTCTTGCTTGCCCAAGTGTCACCATTCCTTTTCCTTGCAAAGGTACTTAAATGCTGCTATTTCCCTGTGAGTGGTACCTGTGGATGCTGCGGATCAGCTCACAGGCTCTAGTCCTCACCTTCCTGGGGTGCACAAAACATACGTGTTTGGTATATCTGTCTGTGTCCTCTGCAGGGGACGTCATAGTCAGTGTGAACGATACCTGTGTGCTGGGGCACACTCACGCTCAAGTTGTGAAAATCTTCCAGTCCATCCCCATCGGTGCCAGCGTGGACCTCGAACTGTGCCGAGGCTACCCCCTGCCCTTCGATCCCGACGATCCCAACACGAGCCTGGTTACGTCCGTGGCAATTTTGGACAAAGAGCCGATCATTGTGAACGGGCAGGAAAATTACGACTCCCCAGCGAGCCACAGTAGTAAAACAGGGAAAGTAAATGGCACAAAGGAAGCGAGACCCAGCAGCCCGGCTGAGGTCTCCTCCAACGGACCCCATGGTTACCCCAATGACACGGTGTCTTTGGCGTCTTCGATAGCAACACAACCGGAACTCATAACTGTGCATATAGTGAAAGGGCCTATGGGCTTTGGGTTTACTATAGCAGACAGTCCTGGTGGGGGTGGCCAAAGAGTGAAACAAATTGTGGACAGCCCAAGGTGCCGCGGCCTGAAGGAGGGTGACCTTATAGTCGAAGTCAACAAGAAGAATGTGCAGAGCCTCACTCACAACCAGGTGGTGGATATGCTGATTGAATGTCCTAAGGGAAGCGAAGTCACGTTGCTGGTGCAGCGAGGAGGTAAGTCTTCAAAACTGCTTTAAAATATTTCTTCTTGAAATTTTTAGAAAAATGCATGTCATGAAAGACCTGCTCTCCTAAGCTTCTCTGTAGAAATGGGTTATGTCCTGAGGTGTGGGAACTGCCCCAGGTTGGCAGTTGTCAGGTCACACAGACGGTTGAAATTATTTGTTGTTTTGATGCTGCACCGGGGTGAACGTGCGTGGAGGTGCCATGCGCACATGCGCTACACGCCGTCTTCTGGTCATACACAAAAGGGTGGCATGGTTACACTACGGTTACACCTTTACTGAAACAACAAACCTGATCTCATGCTTGTAAAACTTAATTATTTTAAATAGAACATGGACGTTTCTTGAACTGTTTTGGGGGATGGAAGAGGCTGGTAATACGTTCTGTAATTTACAGTGTTCAAAATCAGATATCCAATGACTTTTCCCTGTGGAAGGGTTACACCTGGGATACAGTTGGGAGTGGAGGAGAGAATTTAAACTTCTCCAAGTTGTAAGCAATTGAAGTGTTGCTTCTGAACATGTTAATTTGCTGCGCAATCGGGAGCCGAGCTCAGTTTTGGTTGCATTGCTGAGAGGCTGCCAGCACTTACAAAAAACACCCTACGGGCAGTGTCTGCAGCCCACATGGGAGCATGGATGGTAGGTAACCTGTCAGTGGGGTCAGCCCGTCCACAGAAACTCTTTCCCTGCACATAGTAAGTGTAAAATAATCCGAGGTACCATGCCCCACCTCACGTAGCACACTTTTAGTCCGTGGATTAAAATTACTGGAGGAGTTAGTGTCAAGCTCGCAGGGAAAGTCCAGGTCAGCTGTTGAATGCAAAATCAAGAGCAGAGGGGTCAGCTCTCCCTCCTTCTGCTCTGGCACTGGCAGCGGGCATCTGAGGGGGTGAAGGCCCGTCCCGGCTGCGCTCTCTGTCCCGTGCAGCGGTTTTCATGGACAACGCACACATCGGTGCTCAGCGCCTCGCAGCGACGAGCATGCTGCAGAGACAGTGAAGCTGGCAAGTAGGTGCTGAACGCAGCCCCCAGCCATATATATATATAAAAGCACTTTTCTGATGCATTTTCTAAAGTGTTTTGATTGTAGTAGTTAGCAACAAATGCCAGTCCCTTTAAATGGGGGGACAGGTTGCTTTCTGAATTTGCAACTCTGGTTTGTTGTTTTTAAAGACCTATTTCAAGGAATTGATTCTGCAATTAATAGCAGCTCTGGAGAAAGCACTGCTTTTCTCCTGCTCCTTCCTTTCCAAGTACTTACTGTGTTTTTCTATTTTGATAGTAAATTAAAAAGTAGAGAACAGAATATATTAAGAGTTCTCCAATTTTCAAAGTGTGAGTTCCTTAAAGACTTTCAATGCCAGAGAGGTTTAAAAAATGCACTTCGTTCTCGTGATTAATGTATGTACTATGGGGAAAATATGGTTGGAAGAAAAATAGCAGCTATTATTAACCCTCCTGGAGAGTGCATATATATCTGGTAACACCATACATTAATTATTTGAATTGTGGCTGACATTTAATAATCCTCCTTATGCCTTGAAGGCATAATGAAAAGATTTCATGAGGAAATAAAAGCATAGTTTTAATAAGATAGTTATTAGTTCCCTGGTAATCTTGCTGAATGTCTCTCTTCTACTTTTATTTAATCAAGATACTAACCACGTGTTGAGCATTTGCTATCACCTTCCTAGATAGATAACGTATCAATCTCCTTGAACTGCCTCCCTCCCTCCTTCAAGGTCCTGACATTTTCATCTGAGCATAGAGCACTTGCAGTTCCAAATTTCACGCTCTCGTGGTACAGGACTCAGAAACTGTGGTGGCCCTGGATCCACAGTTAATCATTGAAACATGTTTTTCTTCACATCCAGAAGCAAGCTGGACCGAAAGGCTCTCAGGTTGTGACACAGAAGCCAAGCAGAATACGGACAGCAATAGTAGCCCCAGCATCAAACCCAGTCAGGTTTGTTTAAACCTTGTGAGATGGTGCTGGCTAAGATGCACCCAGCGCTCAGTGCTGCTGCGCTTGGGTCCTTGCTCCTGGAACTTTACCTTGTGTTACCCTTGCCGAGTCTTTTCTCAGAAGTACCATCCCCAGACAAGGTGCCACTATTTATTTTGGTCCAATTACAGAAATGTATTTGGCTCCGGTGTCTGATAACCTCCTTCAGGGCTCTTGAAGGAGTTCTTCTTTAGCTTCACTGTCAGTTGTCCTTTCCTCCTCCTCCCTCTGGTGTCCAGCGAAGAAAATGCTCAGATGCTGTCAGGCATCCTTGCATTAGCCTAACATTTGCATTCAGTCAGGCTTTGCATGAAGCATCCCTGCAACACTAAGGCTGGTGTTCAGAGCTGTCGAAAGGATTTGTCAGAAGTGATTACTAATCAGGCAGAAAAATATCAGAAAGAGATGTGTAATATACGGGAAAAGCTCTGCCTGCTCCAAGCTACTGGTGCACTCCCAACAACAAGGTTTAATTGTTAAAATGCAAACCCACAGCCGCTGAGAGCAGCCTGTAAAATATTTACTGTAAAGTGTATTCAGCTGAAGCGCTGGCTTATGGGAGCAGGTGAGTCCTGCCGTTGCCATTGAGTGAGGAACAGAAGGATGATTTCAGGAAGGATGAAGCTGAAATGCCCCCTCTGCGCGCTTGGCTGCTCATGTGTCATCCAAAAATGGTTTGCAGGACTCATACAAGATTGGGGCAGGGGGATAAATACATTAAGAGAGGGACAATGTCAGGTCATTGAGATTTTGCTTCCCAGGGGCCCCATAGAAAACTTGCCTTATCTATGTTCTGTTTTAATTTTTTATTTTCCCCTTCCTTCTCCCCTCTCTAGGGTTTAATTATATTATTGCTGCTCTTTTCTTATTTCACCCGTACATAGTGCTGGACAAAACTCACTGAGCATATCTCATGGCTTGGACTTCAACACTTGAGGGATTCAGAAAGGATGAATTCCCGGCAAAGGCAGGGTGCAGAGGAGCTAATTGGGCTGTAGGCGAGAGCAGATCGGAAAAGCTGCTTTTGCTTAGCAAGATGAAGGGACAGAGGGGACAAAAGTATTGTCTAACTATTAGGTAGGAGAGATAGAAGATACTTAAACCAAAGAGTTGGCTGAAGAACAACTGGGTGTTGTTCAGCCATGAGTAATTTAAACTGGAAATCAGAAGAAAGTGCCAACCCATTAGAGCCTGTAAGTCAAACTGGAGGAGGCATAAAGGCTTTGTCGTCTGAAGGTGAAGCTCAGCACGTTTGAAGGCGATACGACATGGTGCCTGCAACAGCAGAGGAGATGCTTGCTAACCCAGCAGGACCGTTCAAGGGCTGTGTACCTGAGAGTAAACCAGCGCTACTGGTTACCAAATGCAGAATTAAGTATATGCTTTTGTCCCTGCACTGCACAATGTGATTACACATTTCAGTTATTTTAAAGAATTATTGTTAATAAGGTCACAAAAGGCACGCCTTTATTTTGAATTCTTGTAGCTGAAAAGGTTCTTTTAACCTTGTACCTATCAAGTACATAAAGTACTTTTCTCAGAAAAAAAGCAAAGAAAGAAGGTAATATTTGCCACTTGAAATCCATTTGTCATTGAAGTCTTGTCTACGCACAGTAATCGACTGAAATAAGCAATTCTCAAATACCTCTTCATTCTGCGCAGATTCTATTCATAATAAAAGCAACATTTTGTCAGAATAATTTCCCTGCTTCCCAAGGGACTTTTGTTCTAGGAGTTGTGTCTATGCTGGGACAGGTGTGGGGTTGTTTCAGAACAAGTTATTCTGCAAAACTATGGTGCTGTATTTTTTGCAGTCACTAAGATCTAGCATTTGTTTCAGTGAGAACATTTGGGTGTCTTACTGATGTATTTTGTGAATTACCTCAGATTAAAGAGGATTATTTTCTTCCTTTTTTTCCCTCTTTTTTTTCCAGGTCAGTCTTCAGTTCAGGTCATCCAAAAATTTTGTTATTAGTTTGTGTTCAGTTACAAGAATTAAACCGAGCAGTTTTCATGCAGGTTTGAATGGACAGTTTCCCTTCAAAGCTTTCACAGCACTCACTAGCATCTTTATTCACCGGAAGGTCAAAAATAGCATAAACCTTGAGCCTGATCTACGTAATCCCCTTGAAGATGTGTTCTCACTTTGCTCCAGATCAAAGTAAAAGCATGCAGGTGAAATGTCACTCACATGTCATGTGCAAATCAGTGGAGTTTCTAATAGCTTTCCCTAGTGCCAAATTCACATGAAACTGGGGAATGGAAATCCATCTTCTGAAAAATATATGATATATATGCTAGAGTTTCGAAACTAAATCTATTTATGGGAAGAAGAACCAATGCAACATCTACCTGTCTAAATGCCCATCGGTGGGCGCCTGAGTCTTAACTTCATGTAAAAGCAAAGTCCATGGTAAATTCCCTGTTCGTGGTTCAATTGAACGGGAAGTGTGTGTGGGGAGCGATGGAGTAGGTGGAAGTGGGGAGAGATCGGTGCCAACGGTCCTGCTCATTTGGTCCTTGACTCAGTGGTTTTAAGAAGGTCCCTGTGATACATAAAACTACAATGAAGATTTGCAGCAATGGAACAAAATTACAAAGCTCTCAAGCAGTAAACCTATTAAGTCTCCTTAGCTAGCTGGACCTTCCCTTGCTGTTCCAGTGATGCTCTGGGCATGTGAGGGTAATTAACCTCCGACACTTCCCACGGAGAGGAGTTAACTCCTTCTTGTGCTGAAAATGCATGCTAGAGTCAACTGCCCTGGACTAGAAGGCTCTTTCTGTAGCCTAAAATGGAAGGACATCTTTTTTCTCTGTCTTGTGTCTGTGCCATTGAAATATTGCATAGTAATATAAAGATACATGTCTTTTTCTTTACACTGCTTGCTGCAGCTTCAGGCTCCCCCCAGTCAGGGTAGAGAGAGTTACAAGATCCTTTAGACACAGTGGGAAAACTTTATGAACAATATATGATAACAACT